ACGGGTGAGGGGTGGATGGATGGGGGTAGGGAGAGGTAGATGGAGGGGATGCAGGGTGGATGCATGAGGGGTGGATGGATGGGAGGGTGGAGGGCAGGTGGGTGGAAGGGGAATGGATGAAGGGGGTAGATGGATGGAGAAGCGGTGGGGCGAGGGGATGGGGGGGCAGGTCAGTGGGGGGCAGGGTGACTGGGTGGGTGGATTCATGGGAGCAATGAAGGAGGCGAGTGCAGGTGCAGTGTAAGTGGGTAGGTGGGTTGGGTGGTCGGCTGGATCGATGGTGCTACGGGTCAAATCGTGTCCCCAAAAAGGTGTGTTGAAGTCTTCATCCCCAGTATCTGTGAACATGACTTTATTTGGAAATAGGGTCCTGGAAGATGTGATCATGTAAAGACAAGGTCATTAAGTGCTGGAGGAGCTCAGAGGTGAGAGGGTGAGCTGCCACCTCACCCCAGTGCCCCGAGCTGTGCCCATGGCGTTCTGCCCAGCACTGAAGAGTGACAGGAGCATGACCCGCCCCGCGCCTCATACCTGGGGGTCGGCTGACATCAGCAGAGAACAGCCAGTCGGCAGCCTTCCTCGCATCCAAGCCCACCAGGTAGAACTTGCCGAAGTAGGACATGTCGAACACAGCCGCGGCCCCTCGGCAGGCCAGACACTCCCGCTTGATCTGAAAGGTCCAGGGGGCGGGTGTCGGGGGCTCTGGGACGCGCCTCCCCCTCAGGAGCGCTGCCACCGGCTCGGAGCCTCCCCTCCACCCCCTCCAGCTCAGAAACACCGTGCCGTTCCTCTCGGCCCAGGGAACACTCCGAGGGTAGACCATAAGCCGTAAGCCCGGACCCAGTGCTTTTAGAAGGATTACAACCATACGAAGTACATCCTTGGGCCACAAGGGGATTTCATGGGAAATCGAGCAGAAGGATATTGGAAAGTTCTCAGATAAGAGAAATTGAACAGCACGCTCCTAAATCACCGACAGATCAAGAAAAACAGCGAGGGGACTTGGAAAACACTGAGCTGAGTGACAATGAACCCGAGACGCATGAAAAGTGACGGGCTGGGCCGAGGCTGTGCTCGCGGGGGCTCTGTGCCCGTCGCTCGGGTACTAGGGGAGCCCGCAAAGCAGGAGCCTAGGGGAGCCCGCAAAGCAGGAGCCTCCCGCCGCTCGGAGAAACCGGGAAAAAAGAGCAAGCTAAGCCCAAAGCAAGCGGGACGGAGGAACGGCCAAGGCTGCAACGCAAATAAATGAGAGGGCAGGAAAGGAGAGAGTCAGTCAAAGTTGTTCTTTGAAAAGAGTGACGAAACTGGCAAACGGTTAGCTAGACGGGCAACGAAGGAAGAAGTGAAGTGCCAGGCTCGGGAGGGAAAGGGCGGCCTTGGGCGCCACTCATGGGGATGCAGAGAGTGTGGCGAGCGACCCGGGGCCACCGCCCGCCAACAGAATTAGACATGGAAGGGACCAGCTCCTAGAATGACACACATTGCTGAAGCTGACTGATGTAGAAACAGAAAATCGGAGCAGATCTACAACAACAATGACAAAAGATTGAATTCGTCCTTTAAAACGCCGCACAAAGAAAAGCCCAGGCCGGGGTGGCTTCCTTGGTGAATTTTACCAAACGTTCAAAGAAGAATTAATACCAATGCTTCACAACTCTTTCAAAAAATGAAAAGAGTGGGGAACGCTCCCCACTACTCCCATGAGGCCAGCATTACCCCTGATGCCAAAGCCAAAGGCATCATAAGGAAGCTGCAGACCCATGTACCTCACGACCTTGAGCGCAAACACCTGCGACGACAGGAGCAAACCCAACCCGACAACGTAGAAAAGGGATCACGCACCGGGAGTAGGACTTATCCCAGGAACGGGAGCTTGGCTGACATAAAGTCAATTGAGGTCATGCACCATATTAATAGAACAAAGGACAAAAGCCACATAACCATCTCAGTAGATGCAGAAGACGTGTTTGACAAAATCTGACGCCCGTTCATGACAAAAGCTCCAGGTAAGCCAGGAACAGAAGGGAAATTCCTCAGTCTGATAAAGTGTGTGCACAAAACCCCGCTGATGGACCAACCTCACTGTTATCACTGGAAAAAATTATAACAGCAAAGCTCCCACCTACTGAGCGCTTAGTGGGTGCCAGGAGCCTGTGTCATCTGCCAGCCCCTAGGGTGACTACTGTGTGCAGCCTCACACTCAGGTGCCAGAGGGGAGGGGAGATGACGTGTCTGGGGTTAGACAGCTGGAAAAGGCAGAGCCATCCATTCGGCCAGGTCTGCCTGGCAGTGCGTCAGTCCTGGGAGGCGACCCTGCATCTTCCCAGCCCTGCAGAAAGGGGTGCCATGTGGGTGGATCAGGGTGAGTGGCCAGTGGGAGGATTAATACTAGGAAAAGTGGCCAACGCGGTGGATCAGGCTTCTCTCCGGATTGTTCAGCAGCCTGGGTCTGCACACGCTTGTGCCCCGGACGCTGGGGCTCCGCCCCCTGCAGACATGCCACCCTTTGGGGAGCTCCTACCACCACGGGCACCTCTGCTTATGTTGCTGGGCCTCAACCAAAATCTGAAGCAGCTTCCTGGGCTGACTCGCGTCTACCCAGGCTCGGGAAGCTGCCAACGCTGAGAACAAGTCTGGGCGCGTCTGTGGGCTGGATGCAGCGGGAAGCCAAGTTGGCATCCCCTGCGAGCTCCCACGTCCTCACAGGCAGAGCATCCGCAAGCCTTAGGAGCTGCAGGTGCAGAGGCGCCAGACAGAGCCCCAGTCACTCCCCAGGATGCCGTCCAGGACCCTGAGCTTCAGATGCACGTGCCACCCACTCCACTTCAGAAGGCCTCCTCCAAGGCCTTTAACGGGACCCCCCCCCACTGAGGCCAGCTTTGGGAGAATCATGGGAGTAATGCTCCTTCCCTTCAGGATGGCTGCACAATTGTGAGGCCTGGTGCAAAATGGAAGTGTGGGTCTTTGTTCATAAATATGAAGAGTTTCAAGGTGCAACCACGGAGCACTACCCCAGCCCAGGGTGCTTCTGATTGAGGGGCCCCGTGTGTCCACACAGGTCTCAGGCCCAGGAAGCTGGCTGTGCGGCCTGACCCTCAGGCACTGTGAGAGAGCCTCTCAAAAATGCTTCCCAGGCCTCCCTGGGCTCTGGGGACCCCCAGGCTCAGGCCTTGGCTCCACTGCTGCTCAGATGCCTGAGGAGACGTCACCCCGCCTCCTCACTCAGACCTGTGTAGCGGGGCACAGCCATGTTCTACTTGGCGATCGCTTTACAAAATTATAGAGGAGCTGGCACTGTTCCTGTAAACGCTGCCCATGGGAACGTCCCTGTGTGGTGCAGATGTCGGGGGAAAGCCCAGGCCCCAGGACCTTGTCTCCTCCACCCCACAGGCGCGGGGAGCCAGGCACTGGGGAGAGGAGCAGTGAGCCACCAGGTGCCCTGTCTGGCCAGCCTCACCCACCCACTTGTGGAGGGAGAGGCCAGCAAGCAGGCCCCAGATCATGGACCCTCCCCAGCTTGGTCTGCTCTGCGTGTCCCCTCGAGGGTTTACTCTGCGGAGGGCCCACTGCGCTGGCCCCAGAAGGAGAAGGTCATCACTCAGCCCCCACAACAGCTCTCAGTTCTAGACAGAGGCTCAGAGAGGTGAAGCCCCTGGCCTGAGGCCGCACAGCCAGACCCAGGCCCGCAGCCTTGAGCAGTAACACTGAGCTCGGGCCTGACTGCCGGCAGTCTTGGTGCAGGCAGAAGGAGCAGTGTGGGAGGGGAAGCATCACTTGGTCCCTCCTGGAAACTGAGTCAGCCCCAAAAGGGGATAGGATGGAGCTGAGAGCCTGGGCAGGAGCTCTGCAGGGCCAGGGGCGGGGGATGGACCTACAGGAAGCCCACTGTCTCTTACATCAGGGATGGGGGAGGGGAGGGGACACAACTACTTACCACCTCGTGGTGGGGCGGGAAGTCGAAGGTGTATTCATCCCCCAGCAGCCGGTTGTAGGTGTAGCCCTCGTGTGCCTGGTTCCCATAAGCCCCGTAGTAGTCATATTGGAGAACCTGGGAGACAAAGGCATGGTCGTCCCTGGTCCCCCCCCTCCTTCCTGTCCTACACAGATATGGCCTGGCAGGCACTGGGCTGGTCCCACAAGGACAGACACACAAGACAGATCTGGCCCCACCCTGTCCGAGTTTCCCTCTGGCGGGGTGTGTTGTGGATACAAGCAGGGGGGTGGCAGTGGGTTCAGGCCCCCCATACACAGTTGCACAAACGACACCTTAACCACTGTGCTGCTGGTGGGGGGTCTTTGAGTCAGTAGGGGCCCCCAGGGGGATGGAGAAGAAATTGGTGAAATCAAGGTGCAGAGAGATAGGGAGGTAGGAGCCGATTGACTAGGACCTCAGGGCCACTGTCAGGGCGTTTAACTCAGCGCCGAGGCAGTGGGGGACGGCCCGGGGATGGGGGTGAAGGAGTGGGATGGCCGAGCACTGCTCCTGAGGCTGTTGCCATGGAGATCTGGGACCAAGCCGTGCTCAAAGTGCCTTCTCTCTTAAGGAGGAAGATCCTTTCTACAGATGAGGAAACCAAGGCACAGAGACATTAAAACTTGTCCCAGGTCACAGGTGAGTACCCGGCAGAGCATGACCTTCATCCAGTGGTTTGCACCGAGGGAGGCTCTGGGCTCCTGTGTGGGGAATATGGGTCCCCACAGGCCCACAGGGGAAGGGATGGTGCCCAGTGAGACTCTGAGACCCAAGCAGAGGCCGTTAGGGAGCTCTGGCTCCCTGTTCGCCTGGCAATGGCCTGGAACACTCTTTGGGACATGGGTTGCTATGGAGATGGAAGATAGGTTGTGCTGGAAGGGGACTGGCAAAATATAGCAACAGGAAAGGGATTTTAATTTGTTCCAATCAGGATAAAATACTCCCCCCTGATAGGCTTAAAGCATCGCATCGGCTGCCTCTGAGGGGCTCACAAACGGATGGTCTGACTCCTGTCTGAGGGCCTGGGTCCCTGGAGGCACTGGGCCAGGGGTTGGGAGCCCCCAGGAGGGCACCCCGAGGCCAGGATGCTGTGAAATCCCAGCTTACAACTAATACAGAATGCAAAATCTTCCGCTAAACCCTCCCACTCACATAAACTAACAGTTGCAATTGCCAAAAATATGTGAACAAAATTATGAGAAGATGCTCTAATTTCTCCTGCAAACTGGGGAGCATCACGTGTGCTGTCTCCTCGCTGTGGAGCACCAGCATCCCCAGGCCCCATGTGGAGCAGGAAGGCCTGGCCCCTGTGGGTGGTGAGTGACACCTGTTGGGGCCTCTGCAGAGGAAGTGCCCCAAAATCACGGGCAGATTGACGGGGCTCAGTGCCCCACAGAGAGTCAGGCTCCACTTGCAGTAACCACAGCAGGACTGCGGTCACCTTGGGCAGGTGTCGAGGTGAGAGAAGACATGGGGGGCTACTCACCGGGGCTGTGCCTCCAGGATTAAACCATCCTGGCCGCTCCCAGCCGTGCCGCTCCTGGAACACGCAGCCTCGTGCAAGGAGCTCCTGGGGTGGGGGAGGGCCAGCACCTTTCACACGGGGTCAGACACCCCCATGCAAGGCAGACAGCAAATGAATCTGCCTCTTTATACCCGAGGGCGCAGAGGGCAAAGAGGTCCTCGCACCCAGAGCCAGGACACAAGCCCAGGCTCCCACACCAGAGCTCCCCCAGCATTCCCCCCCCCAAAAATCCCCAGCCTGGAGAATTACCTTCAGCTATGGACTGATTTCCTGACCTGCAAACTCCTACATGGAAGCCCCAACCCCAGTGTGACTGTATTTGGAGATGGGGCCTCTGAGGAGGGAATTGGGGTGAAATGAGGTGTTATGGGTGAGGCCCTGATCCTTCCAGGGACACACCACTGTCTCTGTCCACCAGGAGCAGACAAGAGAGGAGGTGGCAGTCCAAAAGCCAGGAGGAGCCCGTTGGCTGGCACCTTGACCTGGGCCTCCCAGCCTCCCGACCTTGGGGAATGAATTCCTGCTGCTCAGGCCCCCGTCTGAGGCATTTTGTTATGGTGGCCCAGCACCCCCACTCCTAGGTGTGACAGCAGGGACTCCAGCAACTCGGCAGGGAGGGCAGGCATGGAGCCAGCTCCACACGCAGGAGCGTGCCGCCGTCTGGCTGCGCCCACCTGACATGGGACCACACACACCTGCCATGCACCTGCCTCGCAGAAGCCCCTGCTGCCAGGGGCCAGGGGCCAAAAAAGATGCCCAGGTGCGTGCTCTGAGCGCCTTCTGTTAGCAAGTACCTGGGACTGAACCAGCCGCCTCTCACCAGCTGCCCCGCAGGTGGGGCCCCACATGCACCCTGTCCCCCCAATACCCGGGACTTCCGAGAGTGACCTGGCCAGCACAGAGCAGGTACCTCGTGCAGGGGGTCCCTCCGCATGTTGCGGCCTGCCAGGGGCTCGTCGTGAGGGAAGACGACAGAGTAGTTCTTGGCGTAGGACTCGTGGCTGCGCTCCCGAATCCAGCGGCGGTGGTCGGTGAGCGAGTGGTGAAAGCGCCTGTCACAGATGGACGGGCCGGTCACGGCCACGGGGGCCTGGTAGGGAAGGGCCTGCCAAGTACCAGGGACCCAGGGCAAACCCGGATTCTCGTTCCCTCCACCCGAGTCCTGCCTGTGGCTCGGGCATCAGGAGGAGCTCCTGGCTCTCCATTCTCTTGCTGTGGGGCCTTAGGCGCCCCCAGACCTTGGTGAGCTCAGGCTCCTCACCTGTAACCCCCCCACACACGACCCCTCCTCCAGCTCCTCTGTGGGCACAGCGGCTGGAGCCCCCCGGCGGCCAGCTGGCCCATCTGATCTCCTTGGACCTGCCTCGGCTGGAGCTGGACGCCTGGCCGGCCTGCGTCGGGGGCCCTGCAGACCCCCTCATCCAGCTCCTGTTCTGTCCCTCCCTTCCCTCTCCGCTGCTGGCATCTCTCTCCTCCAGGGCCACCTCCTCCCCGTCTTGTCCTCGTGGGTTCTGTCCCCAGTGGCTCCTGTCTGAACCACATCAGGCCGATGGACTCTTAGTTTGGGCTGGTCTGTGAGCACGATTTTCTGACCCGGGCCAGGGCGGAGCTGTTACGAGAATCACTGTTACTGGCACCACCAGCACCCGCTGTCCGTCTAAGGAGCTATTCCCAGCGCGGGCCGAGGGCAGTGCCGCCCGCAAGGACCTCTGTCATTCCTGGAGGGGCCTCAGGCAGGGTGTCTTATGCGTGGGGCGCGTGGTTTGACTCATTCCACACCAGAGGACCCAGCCTGCACCCAAACTGGGCTACATGCTGCCAGAAGCTTCCAGAACACGCCGCTGGAGAGGCAGCGATGGAGCTGGCCACGGGGTCCGGGAGCGTTCTGGAGTGGGNCCGGGAGCGTTCCGGGGTGTAGAGCTTGGAAATGCGTGGCAGGCTTGGGGGGCCGAGCGGCAGACGGAGGGGGCCAGGAGGGCCACCCTGGGCTATCTGTCCTCTCCCTGGTCAGACTTGTCCCCAGGCACCAGACACCAATGTCGCTCTCCCGGGATGGGACATGTGACCTTCCCCACCGTTCTGACAGTGGGGATCCCGGTGGGAGCTCAGGGGGAGTCTCTCACTTCCTCAGGCAGGAGCTCTGCCTCCCAGCCACAAACCAGCCCTTGGCACGCTCCTGCCAGGGAAGGTGGCTGGCGGAGGGAGGCCCAGACTTGTTCCCAGCTGGGCAGGGGCTCAGCAGGCAGCCTCAGGGCCTCAGACAGCATGGACACTATGGTCCAGGAAGGCCATCCGGTGAGGCAGGTGTGAGCCCCAGGGGGTCTGATTCCAGTGCCAAAGCCTTCACCCCAAGGGAGGCCGGGGGACAGCAGACAGCCTGGCCCGGGGTGGGAAGCTGGGTCCCTGCCCCTGTAGGTGGAGCACTAGGTGACTTCAGGCAAGTTGCCTCTCCCATTGGTGCCTCTTTTTTGCTATTTGTAGCAAGAGGGGCTTGGACTGGTCCATCCCTGAAGCCCTTTACAGATTTCTCATTCTGGAACATTCCTCTCTTGGGAGAGCATGTAGGCGCAGCCACAGAGCAGACCATGCTGTGCCAGGCACCACGGAGGGGGTGGCCACCAGGGCATCTCAGTGCCTGTCAGCCTGTCTCTGCGGGGACCAGACACCCCCCAGTGGGTGTAGTGTCTTCACCAGGCCAGGAAGGGACGAGGGGAGCCGATGAACAGGGGCTTGCCGACCTGAACTTGTACCCCCTGCACCTCACCGGCAGCTGGGGTCTCTGGGGGGGCCGTCTGCCAGGAGCAGGAACAGCAGAGCCGGCTGACTACGCAGAGGCTCCTTCAAGCTGTTGCCTGACTGCTGCCTGGGGACAAGAGCCGGGTCCACCAATTCCCACCTGTCTAGGAGCACCTGTGTCACTGGCCCCGACTTGCAGGGCAACCAGGACGCCTCCCAGCTCTGACATCAGTGCCCCTTGGCCTCAGCTCAGGGTTACTTAGCATTTCCAAGTGCAGGCCTGTTGTGAGGGTTTTACCGACACAGACCAAGCAGCACGTGCACCCCTGCCCGGGTCGGAATGACACTGCTCGGCCTGATTCCTTCCACTCACCGCGCAAGTGGCTCCCAGCCACTGCGCACATGCTAATAACGATCATCCCGCTCCCGGGCTACTTGTGCGGTCCTTCCTGCTCCCCAGGCCTCAGTCTCCCCATCTGCAAAGTGGGAGGACTTGATCCCACTGCTATCCTGGAGCTGGCCAGCGGGTCAGGCAAGACACTGGGACTAGAGATCCTGGAAACTTGTAAAGGGCCGGGGAGCTGCCAAACGCAGGAGCCCTCAGCACCACTCCCTCCTGGCAGCCTTCCTCCCTTTCTTCTCTTGCTACCTCTTCCTCCAAGAAGCCCTCTGAATTTCAGGGAAGCTCCTTTCAAAATAGCCCTGGCTATTTACCCCACCACGCCAGGTCCTAGGGCGGCTGGTGAGGAGCCACGCCCTGCCTGCAAGTTTCCCAGGGCACTTGCCTGATGTCATAGCCATACATGTCCTTCTCTGGGCGCCCGTGGATGATCCAGTGGGCCAGCTCCTGCCCACAACCGCCGCCCAGCATCATTCCTGCCAGGAGTGGAGTCACAAGTCTGCAACCCATCCCCAGAACTCACCCCAATTCTGTGCCTCTCCCATCTTCATCTGCAGCATCACTCCCCAAGCCCGGGATCTCACACCTGGGCGCTGCATGCCTTCTAACAGGACCTCATCTGTTCCTGCAGGCCTCTCCTGTCTCCACCCATCAGGGGGTGCAGGGCTCCTGGGCCAGCCCCCACACCCCACCTAGGGGAGCTCTGAGAACCAAAGGAGAGACCACCGGTGGGCTGCTGCTCGCACTCACCTGCACTGTTGAAGCCACAGCCCAGGAAGAATCCTCGGAGCTCAGGCGCCTCCCCCATCAGGGGCTTGTGGTCAGGTGTGAAGGACTCTGGAAGGAAGGGGTGGCCTGAAGCTCCCTCCAGGTTGTGCACACCTGGGGTGGGGTCTCCCAAGAGGTCAATAATTGAGGCAGGGGTCTGCATGTGCCTCCTTTATCCAGACCCTCCCCATCCTTAAGACCCAGCTCAATGCCACTTCTTCCAGGGAGCCTCCCTGACTGCTTCCACATTTCCTGAGCCCCTTGGCATTTACTGCCAGAACCATCCAACCTGAGCCAGGTTCTGCCTTACGGAGTCCAGGTTTGTCCCATAGCCATCACCATTCTCCTGCTGATGAGGGGCCCCAATCACAGTTTATGGCTCCCCCTCACTGCACCATCTCCCTGCTGTGTCACTGCCAGTCACTCTTGCCCATTGGACCATGAGCACCAAAAGGGCAGGGACTGGGCTTTGCTTTGCTCACCACTGTGTCCTTAGGCCTAGCACAGGGCCCAGCAAATAGTAGGAGCTTGATAAATGTTCGTTGAATGAATGGTCATAAGTTCTTTGGGAAACTGGACCAAGCCTCTTGCTTCTGTGCTGCCAGAGTGCCTTGGGCGGAGTCCAGGACATGGAGGGAGAGGGACCCTCGGGCATAATTACAAAAGGCTGGACTTTGCAGCCACAGTCCTGGGTTCCAACCCCGCTCTACCTCTTCCTAGCTGTGTTACCTCGGACAAGTCACTTCACCTCTCTGAGCCTTAGTTCCCTCTGCTGTAAAATCGGAATCACATATGTACCTCCCAGGGCTGTGAGTTAACCTGTCTACAGATATTTGCAGCCCACCCAGATGTGCCCCGGAGTCAGCTCTGGACAACACAAATCCCACCCCTCAGGGAGCTGCCATAGAGCGAGGGAGACAGAGAGTGAATATGTCTGATAAGAAAACACAGTGGGGCAGGGGTCTCACTTGCTGGCAGGGCTGGCTGCTCTCACAGCCTTTCCTGGCAGGGAGTCCCCACCAGGGTTATTGACAGGGAAAGTGGTGGCTTTCGGTCTGATTTATCGCACGTCACCTGTTAGTGAACCATGGACCTGGGGCCGCAGGTCAGGGCTGCCTCGCCCCCAGCCAGAGTTCTTCACCTCTGCTCCCTGCAGCCACCAAGGCCTGACCTGGGGGGTGGGGGTGTAGCCTCTGAGCTGAAAGAGGCCCAACTCTGGGGGACCTGGGGGAGGTTTCCAAAGAGCAACAAAGGGCAGCACCCTGGAGGGCAGAAAGGTGGCGGGGTGGCTGCAGGGAGAGTGGAGGCAGGGTGGCTCAGGGACAGCTGGGCAAAAGNTAAGAAAACACAGTGGGGCAGGGGTCTCACTTGCTGGCAGGGCTGGCTGCTCTCACAGCCTTTCCTGGCAGGGAGTCCCCACCAGGGTTATTGACAGGGAAAGTGGTGGCTTTCGGTCTGATTTATCGCACGTCACCTGTTAGTGAACCATGGACCTGGGGCCGCAGGTCAGGGCTGCCTCGCCCCCAGCCAGAGTTCTTCACCTCTGCTCCCTGCAGCCACCAAGGCCTGACCTGGGGGGTGGGGGTGTAGCCTCTGAGCTGAAAGAGGCCCAACTCTGGGGGACCTGGGGGAGGTTTCCAAAGGGCACAAAGGANCCTGGGGGAGGTTTCCAAAGAGCAACAAAGGGCAGCACCCTGGAGGGCAGAAAGGTGGCGGGGTGGCTGCAGGGAGAGTGGAGGCAGGGTGGCTCAGGGACAGCTGGGCAAAAGGAGAGGTGATGCGCCCAGCTGGTGTGGCACAGTGGTTGAGCGTCGACCCAGGAGCCATGTGCACACCAGGTTCCATTCCCGGTCAGGGCACATGCCCGGGTTGCGGGCTCGGTCCCCAGAAGGGGGCGCGCAGGAGGCAGCCGATGGATGCTGATTCTCTCCCATCAATGTTTCTCTCTCTCTCTCTCTCCCCCTTCCTTCCTCTCTCTCTAAAATCAATAAAAACCTATTTTAAAAAATAAAAAGGAGAGGTGAGGCCATGGTTACGTCCAGGGATGACCCAGGGAGCACTGGGAAGCTGGAGCTGTCCCCAGGCCCGGGGCAGGCAGCAGGAAGTCCTGGACAACCTCGGGGCACATGAGGAGACAGCCAGCAGCACGGTTTCCGGGACAAGGGTCTAAGTGTTTACCAAACAACTCAAGACCGAGCCACACAGAGACGCAGGGTGCACGGGGCCTCCAGGCGGGACAGACGAGACCCCACCTTGGCTCCGACCTCCCGACCCTGGAACGAGAGCTCTGCCCACCCCCCACTTCCCCGAAGTCAGGGGGCCTGGGACTTACAGGCTCTGTTCCAGAGGCCAAAGGCCCTGACTGTGCTTGTTCCCCTGGCAAAGAGAAACGCTGATTTCCCCAGAAACCTCCCTCACAGCCGGGAAGCCAGACTCGAGACTCCCTCACTCGCTCGTCTGCGCCCCGGCAAGGCTCCGTGGGAGCAATGACTCCCCGGTCCAATTAAGCTGAGCCGCTCCCTGGGTCATCTGTGCTCCTGGGATTGCTTCAGGCCCATGTTTCTCACTGCCAGTCCCCAAGGAGGCTGTGGGGGGTGGCGGGTCATCTGCCTGCTCCCTGATTCCAGTGCTCAGGGCCCTGCCAGCCTGCCCCCTGCCCGTGCCCTGCACCCCTCTGCCTCTTCCTGGGGAGCTGTGCCTCTCACCAAAGGCTCCCTTAGGCCCTGAACAGATTAGAGCAGCTCGGGCCAGAGGCTGTGCCGATACTCAGTGCGCAAGGATGGAGAGGGCTGGACGCCCCACAGGCCATAGCCCGTGGGTGTCAGGACCCTTCCCCCCTCCTGTACTCCCCTCACTCCCTGCATGGCCTACAGGCGTCACTTTATCTCCTGGGCATGGCCGTTGGCATCCACTCCTGGGAGGGACCCGCTACAGTTTGCTGGCCCGGGCTGCGCCCTCACCTTCGTGTGGCTTCTCCTCCTAGCTCTGTCCCTGCTGAGTAGCTCTGTCCCCCATTTCACAGGTGATGGCACTGAGGCACAAAGAACTCAGAGCCTCAGGCACAGCTTCCTCTCCGGGCAACGCTGCATCTTCCCGAACCTCCCTCCACAGCCCTGAAACGGGGCAAGCTCACCTTGCCCATTTGCTGAGCATTAACTGTTTCCTGCGTGTGCCAGGAAGGAGGCTGACGACACCCATGTGATTCTGTGGGAACCACGATGGGGGTGGTGTGTCTCTGGCCCACAAACGACCTGCTCCCCCTGCCCAGAACATTCACCCTTCAGGGCTTGGTTCGGCTGTCCCTCCTCTGGGCAGCCGGCCACACACCCATCACACTTGTATGCTCGTCAAGGGCGGACCTGTCCCACTGGGCCGCAGTCACCTAACCGCCCTGGATCCCCCAGCCTGCCTCTGGCACAGGTGGGGTGCCAGCTAGTGTAGAATGAATGGCAAATGAGTAATCCTGTAGGTGCTGGTCACTGGTGGCTTCTGGGCTGAACCACAGAGTCCCCCGGCAGTAAGCATTGGGCTCCGAGGTCAGCTCGATCCCTCCTACCTCCCAGAGACCACCCTCAGCCAGGGCTCCGGCCGCAGCCTCGCCCCTGCGCCCTCACCTGGAACAGGCTGCCTCCCTGCCCTGGAGCCCACGTCCTGGGGCTGCAGTCACGTGGGCGCTGCCCAGCCTCTAACAGGCACTCAGCACGGGGCAGCTCTGTGGGTCTGTCTCCCCGGCCTGGAGCACTGGCCTGCAGGTTGGGGTCAGGGCTGTGGGCCAGGTGCCCCACTCCCCTGAGAACTGAGCACCTTCGTTCCCAGCCCCTTTATGGAGGCAGAGAGCAGGGCCAGGCTCAGGGCCTATCCACACTGAGTGGGTGTGGGGCCAGAGAGCAGAGGAGTGAGGCCGACGGCCTGGGGTCCGGGCCAGATGGAGCATTCTAGAAAGCAGGGAGAGCGGGGGATTAGCTGGACTAGACTTCGGCTTTAGGCCCTGTGACAATGGCCTCAGGGAAGGGCTTGGCCCTCCTCTCTTCGCTCAGCCCCACAGTGCGCTGGGAGGGGCTCACAGCCCATTTTACAGATGGAAACACCGAGTTCCAGGGACGAGTCGAATGGAGATTAGGAGCCCAGACTGGGCATCAGGAGGAGCTCACCCTGGGGCGGGAAGAAGCCTGGCCGTTTGCTCATCAGGGGCAAATTTCTGCCCTGGCCAAGCTCAGGTCTCTGACTTACAAAGAGAAGTAGAGCGATGCCCACCACCCAGGGCTGCTGGAAGGAGGGAACAAGAGAAGGTAGGGATACCCAGGTCTGTGCCTGGCACAGGCCAGCTCCAGGGTCAGCCCAGCCCCCCGCGCCCAGGCCTCCCCACTCACCTGGGCCACAAACCGTGGACTTGACCCCCGTCTTCTCCAGCACGGGGACCCGGTTGACGGCGCCTTCGATGTGCTGGGTGAACACATCCCAGTCCAGGTCGAAGAGACCAAAAGCAAACTTGTCCGACACCTGGGGAGGGGGCAGGGCCTGCCCTGTGACGGCGCCCACGGGAGCTGCAGTGTCTCCACATCAGGTGAGTTACAGGGCTAGGCTGGGCCCCAACAGGTATCCTCATTTGTCTCCCCTTCGCTAACCCGTCAGCAGGGCCGGTCTGCTCTCCAGGCCCTGCCCAGCTCTGCCCTTGATTGTAGCCACCGCCTCTACCTGGAGGCCCTGCTCCCCACCCTCCTTCAACCCCTTCTCCTAAGTCAGGTCATGCCCCCTCTTGCCCTTAAGCTTCCCGTGGATCCCCATGACTCCTCTGTGGTCTGCAAAGCCCTACATGAGCTCACCCTGCCTACACCTACCACTGACCCACAGCCATGCTGACCTTCCTTAAGTTCTTTGAGAAGGGCAAGCTTGACCTCAGGGCCTTCACCCCCACCTGCGGCAGCTCCTCGCCCACCTTGTTTCCTGCAGGGCCCTGCTCAGGTGTCACCTCCTCAAGGAGTGCTCAGTGCTTCTTTGTTTGTTTATTGTCTCCCCACCAAAATACAGGCCTCCTGGGACAGGGACTTTTACCTTAGTCTCCCTGTTTCCCAAGAAAGTAAAACAGTTTCTGGCCCAAATTGGTCATTATTGATTCAATTTGTTGGCTAAATGCATGAATATAAGAGCGAGGGGGACACACACTTGAGGTGGCCAAGAGGGCCACTGGGTCTACGCTTAACTCCAGAAGCTGCTAGGAGAGCCCAGGCCTGGGGAGACGCAGTGCTGGGGGGGAGGGGGGAGCACAGGGTTGCTAGCTGATGGACAGGGGACTTAAATGTTCTCACTATCTTCTAAAGCTGCCATTTTACAGTTTCATAGCCTCTAACTTCTGACTTTTTGAGGTGAGCCCTCCACCTGCTGTAGGTCTGCATCTGCCTGTATGCAGGTCCTTCAAGGGTCAGAGAAAATGGGATTGACCCTTCTGGGGCAGGGGGACCTGCCGTTGCTCAGGTGCCTACCCAAGGAGCTTCAGGAGGTGGCTCCCTGAAAGAAGGCTTCTCTAGGCTGAGACGCAGCCCCAAACCCCTCCGTCACTCCCACTGTGACTCACCTCCTCCCAGAAAATGGGGTTGGCCTCGTAGCCACCCACAGACAAGGCGTCCCCTTGGAGGCGGAGGTAGACCGAGGCATCGTGGTCACGGACGTTGGGCATGTTCTGGAAAGCAGAGCAGAGAAGCCTTGGGGTCAGCCAGGGTTGGGTGGTGGGCCCCACGCTTCCACCAGGGGTCCCAGGCCCACTGTGGGCCCACCCGCCTCCTCCTTGCTGTAGGACTTCGAGGACTGAGGGGACCCAGGGGCCCTGGGTTACACAACCAGCCCCATTCAATCTCTCTTTCCCCAAACCCCATAGAAGAGCAGCAAAGATATAAAAGGAGGAGGAATGTAGGAGGGAGGGAGGGAAGAGAAGGGTATAAGAAAGCGGGAGCAAAGTATCTGAACAGACATTTCTCCAAAGAAGGTACATAGATGGTCAATATGCGCATGAAGAGACTAACACTGCCGGCCGGCGTGGCTCAGCGGTGGAGCATCGACCTAGGATCCAGGTGATCGGGGTTCAATTCCCAGTCAGGGCACAGGCCCGGGTTGCGGGCTCAATCCCTGGTGGGGGGCGTGCAGGAGGCAGCTGATCAATGACTCTCATCATTGATGTTTCTCTCTCTCTCTCCCCCTCTCCCTTCCTCTCTCTGAAATCAATAAAGATATATTTTTTAAAAAAGAGATGCTAACACCATCAGTCAAAAGGAAAATGTAACTCAGAACTATAAGATGCCCCCTCACCCCACTGGGATGAAACAGTCTGGCAGTTCCTCAAAAGTTACACCTAGAGTTCCCGTAGGACCCAGCGATTCCACTCCCCGGTATCTACCCAAGGGAAAAGAACACAGCCAGCCACACGAAAGCTTGGGCAGGACTATTCATAGCAGCATTACATACAGCAGTCCAAAAGTGGAAACAACTCAACTGTCCAGCAACAGATGAATGGGTAAATAAAATGTGGTGGTCAATAGAATATTACTCAGACATGAAAAAGAAATGAAATTCTAATACATGCACCACATGGATGAACCCTGGAAACGACACAAATGGTCACATATGGTGCAATCCTATTTCATTAAATGGCCAGAAATGGAAAATCCATAGACAGAAATCAGATGAGTGATTATCTAAGGTTGGAGGTGGGTGTGGTGGGCAATGGGGAGTGACTGGTAATGGGTGTGGGGTTTGGGGGATGGAGATAATGTTGATAGGTGGGTAGGAGAGAGATATAGATCATAGATGATGACAGATGATAGATGGTAGATACATACATAGATAGATGATAGATAGATACATATATAGATGATAGATAGACAAATAAGAGATATAATTCATGACAGTTAAATGGAAAACTGAGCAACCAGAAAAAAAATACTATTTACAACTCCAGGAAACACAAAAAGTTGGACACTATTTGCCCAGCAGTTAACCATATTAACACTGTCATTATATTGCAAACACTGACCAATAAACGAGACAAATCTTTTCAGAAAGCAGGCAGGATGGGGAGGCCCACTGCCCTGGGCACTGGAGGGACCTCTCTCTTGCCCCCTCTCAGGTCGCCCTGCCCGGATGCGGACCCAGGGCGAGGCCCCTCTGTAGAATGGGAATGTGGTGTGGAGGGCTGTGGGCAGGGGCGCCGGGAACTTCTCAGTAACTGGGCGCTTCAGAAGTGATTGCTCCTGTGCAAACTAAACAAAACTCAGTGCTCCACAGAGCAGGGTGGTGGGGACACCTAGTGGCCAGGACAGCCCATGACTTCCCTTCCAGCAGGATAAGTGACCCCGTCTCCCTACCTCACAAGGCCCAGGCTGCCTGGCAGTGCCCAGCACGCGCTCAGCTCAGCCCCAAGGCGCCCACTGGCACCCTCACTGCCCTCTCCACGCACAAGCCCACCCCACAGGTGTGACCCCAGTCCCACTGACATCCCTGTCTCCCTACCTCAGCCCATTTTCCTCCAAGCCCTGTGGGTCCTCCCCTAAAGCGCCAGCGGCTGGACCACCCCGTGCCCTTGGTCATGGGCACCGTCTTCCTGCCACGTGATGAGCGGTTGCTGCGCGCCGGGCACCAGGTTCAGCCCTCGGCCCCATCGCAGTTACCTCCCTCAGCACAGCCCTGGGTACTAGGTACAATTTTTACCCATTTTGCAGAAAAGGAAACTGAGGCTCGGGCGGTGCCGTGACTGGCCTGGGCTGGGTGATGGAGGAGTTAGATGCAGACCCAGAGCCTGCGCCAGGGCAGAGCAGCTTCTGAAAGCTGGTGGCAATGGAGACCACCAGAGCACCCGGCCCACGTCTTGGATGGACAGAGACCAGGCCCAGAGGGGGAAGGGACCCAGGGCTGGGGTCCCTGGGGCGTCACAGCCATCTGGGCCCAGAAGGATCGAGGGTGTGTGGTTCAGGCCTTGAGCCCTCAACACCAGGTCCCTGACACCCAGATCTGGGCAGACTCTGTCCTGTGGCCCAAGACTGCCAAGCCAGGAAGCCAGGGAGCCTCCTGATTGGGGGGGGGGGGCACACGCCCCCAAGACAGTGCCAGAGGCCTCCCGGCACAACCCCCAGAGCCCCTGACCTGAAGGAGCTTGTCCTGTAACCTGCCAGGGGGAGACACTTGCCGTGGGGTCAGAGGCCGGAGGCCGGTGCCTCTCCCAGGTCCAGACCCACCAGGTTCAGCCTCAGGACGGCTGGCCTCCCAGGGCCTGTGACTTGGCCCCCTGCCCCAAATCTCCCCTTTTCTCCTACAGACAGTCTCGGAGGTTCTGGGGCTGGTGCACCAGCACAGCCTGGGGTCCCCACAGCACACGGGTCCCCATGGGGGGGCAGCGTTGGTAACTAACATGAAGAGCCCCAGCTTGGCTCTGACCTTGAAGTTCACAGAGGGGCCCTGGACGACTGCCCAGCTTCTCCTGAGAGGTGCCTCAAAGTCAGGCAGCAGGGGGTGCCAGGGCATGGAGAGACGGAGACTGCTGTCCTGGGGGCACCCCTCCACTGGACACAGCCCTGCCCTGCCCTGCTCTCGGCTGTCCCCAGCATTAGCTCAGCCCTCCTGAGCCCACGGCGGCCTGAGCGCAACCTCTGGTGGTCACCAAGAACTCTCCCCACAGAACCAGGGCCTCAGACTGGTCCTGCCAGCAGCTGCAGGGTGACTTCTCTGTCCCCGGTGCCCGCCCAGCAGTGGCACAGAGCCCTCAGGAGGAATTATAGTAAACTCCATGAACCGGGGAAGCCTGTGTCATGGGAGGGCCCAGAGCAGGTGGGACCCTGGCCTAGGCCCCATTGCCCCACCCCTCCACTTCTGCATCACCTAGCGGCCAGCCTGTCCTGCCCCGGGGAGGGCAGGGACAAGGCTCCCAGGACCCTCTTTGCTGGGGCCTGACCCTAAACAAGGGCAGTCTCGCCTCACACTGTCCCCACCCTAGACCCTCTGGCCCCCGTCTCTGAACGGCCTGCAGGTCCTGGCTGCCCTGCTCCATGCTCCCCACCGCGTCCCTCTGCCACGGCCAGACACGGCCTCCACAGGAGCCCCCCTGCCCACAGACGGAGACCCCTCGACGGCCTGTTTTGGACACAGTTATTCACCCGTCCATACCCTCCCCAGCCGCACTGGGACCCCGACCAGAACTCGGCCCTTTTCTCGCTATGATCCCAGTTTCTCGAACAGAGCCTGGGTCACTGGGTTTATCCAGTTACCGCTTGGTGGAGACGGGGGGCGGAGGGGCGGGAGAGATGGAGCGGTGGGTGGAGGGGTTAATAAGTGGGTGGAGGAGGGAGAGAAGAAGGGAGGCTACATGGATACTTGGACGGAAGGATGGACAGACACTTGGACGGGTAAACAGATGAATAGTGGGTGGGTGGACGAAGGGCCCTGGGCGGAGGAGGGGGAGGAGGATGAATAAAGGAAGGGGGGGTAGAGGGAGGGAAATTAATGGAAGACAGTGGGGGGGAGCCGTCCATGCCAAGATGACAGGACGCCACCAGCCACCACCCCTGGAGAGGAGAGATGAGCGGGGAGGGGAGGAGAGGGCAGGGCTCCCAGGGAGGCTCTGAGGCAGGAATCGGGGCGTATTTGGGAGCATGCAAACACCGGCTGCCCCGAACCGCTTGGGCACAGACAGGCGGAGGAGTTGGGCTGGCTGCAGGAGGCAGGGTGGGCTTGGGCATCCAGGAGAAGCTGTGCCTGAGGGCCCAGGGCGTCAGCATCATCGGCTGCAGCTCTGCCACTTCACTGGGGTCTCACACCACCCAAAACACCCAGTGTGCAGTGTCGGGGGCCCATTCTACTGATCAGGCGACTGAGGTGCGGGGCGGCGGGTCATACCACGTGTCGGTGCTGAGTTTCAGAGCCAGGTCCCTGCGCCGCCCCACAAGCCAGGCCCCCACCGTGACACAGGGCCCTGGGCTGCCCGCTTACCTGGATCCCCTCGATGCGCTCGGTGACGACATAGGCATGGTGCATGGCCACCAGCGGGACCTTGACTCCAGCCATCCTGCCCACGGCGTCCGCCCACACGCCTGCAGGCGGAGAGGAGACGGGTCAGCTCTGCCGGCACCTGCTGGGGGCACCAGCCCGGGGGCACGGGGCTCCTCAGCACGCCTGTGGGCACACCTGGCCCCCCCAGAACGGCCAGGGTTAGGGAGCAGCCAGCGTGGCCGCTCAGGAGCCAGAACACCATTCCCACCTGCACAGTTGACCACACAGGGCGTCTGGATGGTGCCGTGCTCCGTCTCCACGGCCGCGACCCGCCTCACTCCGAAGTCATCTGTGCGCACGCGGATGCCCGTCACGGGGCAGTTCTCGATGACCTGGGGTGAGAGGGAGACCAAAGGCACGTGGGGCTCGCCCCGCCCCCATCCCGATGGGACCTAGAGCCCTGCTTCTGACAGGTGGGGCCTCACGGGGCACTCCTGCTGCCACAGGCCTGGGACTGAGTCCACGCGCTCCTTGACTTGGAGAACTTGTCCCCAGACACAGTAGCTCTTTTGTATAAAGTGACTTAAAAAAAATAAACAGCTCATTTGACGAAGACATGTTTGCAGTCTACTGTTTGGCGTAGGGTGCTCCCGTTTGTACATGTTTATCTGTCTTCCCAGAAGATATATTCAGATTAATCTAAACACCTACACTAGTTACCTCCGGCGATTTCATTCCTTCCTTTGTGCTTATTTGACTTTTCTAATTGTTTTTCTACAGTTATGTGTGCACTTGAGACAAGCGATGAAAGCTGCACGAACGCCTCGGGAGAGGCGCCACTTGTCCAGCGGGGCGGGAGCCTCGGGGAGGGCAGGAGGCAAACACCCCGGACAGACCGAGGCACAGCTGCCCCCGCAGGAGCCGGCCGGGTGGCTTCGAGGGCCCTGCCCGACCCAAGGTCTCACGACAGCGAGAATGGAGCCTGTTCTCTTGCCTTCCACTCTCGGGGTTCTTAGGCGGGGGGGTGGGGGGCAGAAGCAGGGGACCCAGGGCCTGGTGGCCATCAGTACCTGTGCTCCCCGGGCAGTGGCGGCCCTGGCGAGGGTGGTGCAGGTGCCGGCAGGGTCCATGGTGCCATCATGAGGCACGTACAGGGTCCCATAGAGGTCGTCCACGTTCATCAGCGGGTACAGCGCCTTGGTCTCCGCCGGGCTCAGCACGTGGGACTCCACGCCATAGGCCTTGCCCAGCTAGGGGACCCAGAGGAAAGTACTGAGCCCTTGGGGGACAGACGTCTCCCGACCACTCCCTTCCCCGTCTGGGCCCCGAGGGTCAACTCTGACCCTCCCTCCTCCAGGAAGCCTTAGCTGGTTGCCACTCCCAGGGGCCCCCGTGGGCACCACGCGTGATGATAACACATCCCGTTTCCTGAGGTTTCTTGCCTCGGAAGCCCAGTGCGCTGTGCTCTGCAGCATGCACCCATTTTAAAGGTGAGGATATTGAGGCTCAGAGAGGCAAAGTCACTCCTCCCAAGGGGCCCAGCCGGCAAGGACAGCACCAGATCTGTCCTGACGCCTTCCCTGCGCCATGCCGCCTACCCTCCTTGCAGGGACACACCCACCAACTTGATTCCCCACCCCCGGCAGGGGAGCACCCACCGACATGAGCCTCTTGTATTCATCCAGGCGCTGCCGGTTGGACGCGATGAACAGGCCCCCGTTCTGGATCCAGCCTGTGTGCAGCCCCGTCTCCTCCTCTAGGTCACGGCTCACCACGCGCCTCGTGTGGGCCAGCAGCTCCACCTCCACGTCGCTGGGCCGCAGCTGCCACAACAGGCCTGGCGGGGAGGGGCGGGCACCGTCTGTCCCAGCATGGGGGTGCTGCACCCCTTCCCCTGAAGGCCCGGCCTCCCAAGTATCAGGCAGCACCTCTGCAGGCTAAGGGCAGCCCCGAGAGGGTCATGAGCAGGAAATGACACGGTCGAGGCTGAGTTTTAGGACAGGACTCCTGGGCCTTGGGCAGCTCAGGGAGTGACACTATCAAAGGCTCCGTTCATTGAGCACTTGCTGTGTGCCAAGCCCTGGACTGAGCCGTCACCCATCACCGGGAGACCCGGCAGCCCCATGAGGCAGAAGGATTATTTTACCCAAAGCGGGCCCTTCATCCGCAAAGCCGCTCCCTACAGAGCAGAGTCTGGGGAGCGGAGGCAGGGGTGAGACTGGGTGAGGGGCGGGGCCGCACCCCAGCTGACACAGGGCCATGGGAAGGCAGAGGCGGCGTCTGCGGGGTGAGGGTCGCCTCCCAGGACGCCTGAACGCTTTCCAGCTGCACCTGCGGTGACCTCACGCTGGCGGCGTGATAGTGGTCGAATCAGGAGTGTTTATCCCACGGAAACTGGTGCACTTGACCCAGGGTTGAGACAGAAGCTCGGATACCCTCAGGACATGCACACAGTAGGTGCTTAATACGTGCCCACCAGTTAGTTAGGAGCAAGAGAATGGTAGACACATCTGTTGGCGCTGGGGGAGCCCCGTCTGCATCAACCGGACAGGACAGCCCCTTCCCTGTCCATCTTCCACGCCCCGTGTCCACCCCTCGCCCAGGTGGCTGTCCGGGAAGGGGCTTCTGCCCTTGGAGTAGACAGCTGGCTCCCAGCTCTGGCCTCAGCTTCGACCTCGGGGGTCCCACAGGCAGAATCTGCTCCCTCCTCCCACCACAGCTTCAGAGACTGAGGGACACGCAGGGCCAGCAATCTGCCCACCCGCAGACGGACCCCCATCTGTCCTCCATGTCCTCCCCGCTCCGCTCCGCTCCGCTCCGCTGCCTCGGACAGGCCTGTGGCGTCCTGGCCACTCGCTGAGTCTAGCCGGGCCCCCCGCCCGCAGCCCGGCCCTACCTGCTGTGTGCCAGGTGGTCCCAGAGGTGAGGCGCTCCCGCTCCAGCAGCACGGCCCCACTCACGCCCAGCTTGGCCAGGTGGTACAGGGTCTGGCAGCCCAGGCTGCCTCCGCCGATGACCACCACGCTGGCTGTGCTGGGCAGGGGCCGGCTTGGGCCCTGGGCGGCCGCCGAGGGGCCCTGGGCCTCCTTCAGGGTCCGCTGGTACGGCACGCTCTTCTCGGTGGTGGGGCCGGCCCCGCTGGTCAGGGAACGCGGCCCCAGGCCCTGAGCAGGGCTCCGACAAGGGCGTGAGGCGGCCACACGCAGGGCTCGGCTCAGCGAGGCCATGGGGACTCCGGGTGTCATCAGCACAGCGAGCTGGGGAGAGAGTCAGGGCTGGCTGTGGTGCGGACAGGGCGCCGTGGAGGCCGGGGCAAACGAGAGCCCAGGGAACCGTGCTCCCCATACTGGGACACCTCCCCCCAGGCCACGCCACCTACAGGACTGATGGCCAATTAACTAATTAATTGAAGGAGGCAACTTCCGTTTCCGAGCTCGTACCCAGTGCCCGCTCGTGGCACGCGCTCTCATTCAGCAAGATGCTCTGAAGTCACTGTGACTGTTGTCCCCAGTTTACAGGGAGGAGACTGAGGCACATGGAGGTTTAAGGTGACCAAGGTCTCAGGGCGGCTATGTGGCCGAGCAGGGGCGCAGGGCCAGGCCTGTGTGTGGCAGGCTCTCCTGCCCCCTCCTGACCTCGGGCCTGCAGACGTCATGGGCCTGGTTTGGGGGAGGGGAGGCTGGGGGAGATGCCTGACCCACTGCGACAGATGCCTGTCCCATCCTCCCTAGTGGGGATTCGGGTGAGGGGCCCAGCTTTCGAGAGGAGGGGCTGCCCTGCCCCAGCACAGTGACCCTCTCTCAGAGGAGGGGGCAGAGGGGAGAGCAGGGACTTGTGATTTGAGAGGCTTTGGGGAGGCGGGGTGGAGGTTGGGGCAGAGCCTCTCAGTCCCTCTGCCACCCTTTGCCCCACAGTCGGACAGCCCACCTGCCTTCTTCCCACAGGTGGCCCCTCGGCTGGCGTCTGAACCTACCTTCAGTGCTCGAAGTTCCTCAACCTTCCAGGAGCCCCTGAGCGGTGTCCTACCCGTGGAAAGCCGGCCTCACGCAGGTGCCAAGACGACTTTCCCTGGCCAGGCATCTGCCCCCTCCCGCGGCACTGCCCAGCACCCCTGCTGGCCCCCCCCCCTCCAACTGTGCCAGCACCAATGCAGCTGGCCTGGGAAGCTGCCACGTGCGCTGCCCCCCCCGCCCGCCAGTCCCAGCTCTCCAGCTGGGCTGGGGCGGCCCGATGGCCCTCCACCTTCTGGAAGCAGCTGCTTCAACATTAACCTGCTCTCCCGCCCCCTCGGACTCTTTCCCGCCCCTGAGTTGGCCACATGACCACTCATTGCTAAGGGTGAGGGTGCAGGACAGACGGGTGGGGGCTGAGCTGTAAAGGGGGACCCAGAGGAGCTGCAAGATGAAAGGGGCTGACCGGGGAAAGTACCTGGTATAGCCTTGACCTGGTGAAGGGGGGCAGGGAGCTTGCCCACACAGTGGCCTGTGGTCCC